TAGTGAATCCTCTCATCACCCCTGCACCTCTAGCCTACATCCCAGTTCTTGTATGCATAAATAAATAAAATAAATCTTAAAAAAAGAAAGAAACTAATCTTTTAAGTTACAAGGAAGTAACATAACTTTCACAAGATTGATACAACCTTGGGTTTTCTCTTTGAAATCACGGAAAAAAAATTTCCTAGGAAATGTCCACCTATACTCCAAAAAACCTATCACTCTCAAGTTTTGTTGCAAATATAAGAATAAGAGAGCTAAAAAGAAGACCTAACAAGCAATTTGGCCACTACTTAAGAATCAAATCTCAATAATGTTGGTGTCAATAGTATTAATATACAAGGAAAGAGCACCCAAAGAAAAGTAACATATAGTTTTCAATTTTAACTGTTAAAGGCAGATCTGATGCCTGTTTGTAATGCCTGGAGATTATAATTTTCAACATAATAAAGCAAAGGAACTAAAATATAAGTCAGTATAAAAATTATCAAATTGAATGGAATATATTGTAGTGGTTAAGAGCACAGGTTTTAAAATTAGGTAGTGTGCGCCTGGATTTTAATCTTGGCTCTGCAATTAACTATTTGTTTGATCTTGGTTTCCTATAATACACATAATAATACGTTGTTGGTAAGATTAATCAGATACATGTATGATATCTGGCACATATTGTTAACTGCACTTGATCATCATCACTTTCATGATGATTTGTATTTGGACTTTCCTATTAAGCCTCCTGTAGAATCCTTACGAGCTTGTTGATTTCCTAACTATACCCTTTGAAATAATTCTCTCTGAAGAATTTCTCTCTGAAGACTATTAAAAACACCTATATAGGGCCTCCCCAGTGGCGCAGCGGTTGAGCACTGGGTTGCAAAGCTGCCCGCAGCCTCTGCAGCGCCGGTTTGATCCCTGGCTGCTTCCCGGCCACCGGAGGAGGGTCCCGCATGGCGCGCAGACCTCTCCTGCTGCCCGCTGCTCCCCTCAGCAGTGTACCTCGGTCCTTCTGCCTGCTCTGCTCCCCGCTCTGGCTCTGGTGAATTCTCTCACCCTCCACGCTTCTGACTGTACCCAGTGCTTGTATAAATAAATAAATAAATCTTTAAAAAAAAAAAAAAAAAAAAACAAAAACCTATATATTTCATACTTTATTTACTGTAAGGATATTATCTCTACAATACTTGTCTTTTTAGAAAGAACTATGCTTTTTTTTTTTTTTTAAGATTTATTTATTTATTTATGTCTACAAGCACTGAGTATAGTCAGAAGCGTGGGAGGGTGAGAGAATTCACCAGAGCCAGAGCGGGGAGCAGAGCAGGCAGAAGGACCGAAGTACACTGCTGAGGGAAGCAGCGGGCGGTAGGAGAGGTCTGCGTGCCATGCGGGACCCTCCTCCGGTGGCCAGGAAGCAGCTGGGATCGAACTGGCGCTGCAGAGGCTGCGGACAGCTTCGCAACCCAGCGCTCAACCGCTGCGCCACTGGAGAGACCCAAGAACTATGCTATTTTTAAGCCACGGTAAATCCTTTCTGGAATAGGACAGGGAATAAATAAAAACACATTCCAGTATTAAAAAATTTTTCTTACCGTTCGTATCTTTCAGTTGAAATCTGCCTCTTGAGACTATCAAGATCAGTTGGAATTGTGCCACTTTAGCCCGAAGCATGGTATTTTCCCGGCTTTGGCTAGTTCTTGAAAAACAGATTTAAAATTAAATAAATATATATTCTGTGTTGTAGAGTCAACTGTGACAAATTTTTATTTTTGTTATGAATAAACACAAGTGGAAGTGATCCTTAAGGATGATAAAAGAGATGATCAAGACTTCAATATTAATTTTCAAATCTTTTGGAGCTTCTAACACTAAGTTTTCTTTTTCATTTATCTCATTTATTTAACATTTACTGAGCTCCTATAGTATGTGGCAGGCACTGCAGTGATGCCAGAGATACAAATTTGAACAAGACATGAATTGTAACATCAGAAAATATGTATTTTCATTGGCTCTTTCTTGACTCCTGCTTCAGAAAAATATTCCTAACTTCTTAAAAAAGGTAATTATTCCACTTGTGTTATCTATCTACTGTGTTTCCTCCTCTTTTTAAACAAATATGTACCCATTTCTCCATCCTAAAGAGATACCATCATCAATCTCCTAAAAGATAAAGAATATACTTATGAGGCTCAAACCTCACAGCATGTATGACGTCTTTTTCCTAATCCACACAATGAGAGAGAGCAGACTCATTCCCCATCCTGAAATGCTCTTGCCTTTGCTGAACATCTTTTTTCTTCCTAAAACTGAGGCATTTATTTAAAGTTCACTCATTCACTTCCAGGAATACCACACCTTTCTGTGAAGATATACAAATCTACCAATATTCAATACATCTCCAAATACTCTGTATCTCCTGAAATAAACCCCTGAATTTCTAAAAGCAGCAGCCATATAGTTAAAATATTTTGGTTTTGTACCATCCTTCACATTTCCATCCTCCTCTGTTCCACAAATCAAGAAGTTGTTTTTGATCAGCTATTTCCTCATGTAGGTTGACTTATGACACTTACAATTTGCTTTCTGAAAGGGTTAGCTTCTCTTTAAGTAGCTGAATTTCTGTATCCTTCTCGTGGGAGGTTAAATGAGACTGAAATTCTTTATCTCTATTTGTAGCCAACAATGATTCAAGGTTTTTAATTGTATGTCTCTCACTTAAGAGTTGTTTTTTTAACAGGTCTGATTCTGATTTTACATTTTCTAATTCTGCTATAACCTATAAGAAAAACAAAGTAGATCACTTCAGTATGAGTTTAGATATGCTCCAAAATTATCTGCAGAACTATATGCCCATCAGTTGCTCTATTTTGGGGACCAGCTTAAGATTTTGAGCTACTACTTCAAATGTAAGAAAATCACCTTATTTTCAAAATAATTTTTGCCATTTTAGTCAGGGCTTATTTGGCCATACGACCTACCACAACCCTCTAATAGTTTTCACTCATACTATATTGTCAAGAGAGGGTCATTAACTTGAAATTCTAAAATGTGGCCACCTTATCAGCAAGGAGGCCCTTCTAGCCTATTAAATATGTATCTCTGACCACACAGTCAAGTCAGTATTAGTATTTCTCAGCTACTTGAACACAAAGATAGTATAAAATTAACAAAATGAAAACACCCACATTTGAATACAAATACTAAGTTATTTAAAAGCAATGTCTCTCTTTGTGGATGGAAACTTTTACAAGTAAGAAAGATTTAAATGCCATGAGATTTTAATCAGAAAAAAATATTTCACTTAGGAAGTAATGATAGTGCTTGATAATTCATTTATATTTTATCTTTAAACAGAGAAAGAATGTATTAGTTTATGTTCCTCTTCTATAACTAGGACTTGTATTCTCCATTTACTCTAAACCAGAGAGCATGTAATTTCATCGCTGTTTGCCAGAGAAATCTAGTAGTCAAATCTAGTTGTTAAAATTCTGTAGTCAAAAATGCTCCAAAAGGAAAGAAATATATTGGATAGTAACTGATAAAGCAAAACAGTTAAGAGTAGGACTCAATAAAACAAAACCCTGAAACAATATCTTTAATCTTACCCTCTCCAACTCAAGGCTTTTGGCATTCAACTGTTGAGTCATAATATCTTTGCCTGAGTCAAGCTTAATGCATAGTTCTCTAAGAGATGACAAATCACTTAATGTTGATGCTTTCTCATCTTCTTGTTGTCTCAGATGTTCTTCTAATGTAGATATAGCTTTTGCCATTGATGAGATCTGAGATTCATAAGCATGATGCGCATTTATGTGCTGAAAAAAGAAAAATAAATAGGTAAAAAGTTAAAGTATTCTGACAATTTTAAAGGCTTGAATATGTAGCCACAAACTCACTTTATAAATATAAGTCGATTTGTGAATATATTAACATAGTCTCAGGAAGTTGTCTGCTATTTAAAGACCCTATTTAATGCTTAACACAATGAATTCTGTATAATCATTAATCATGGTAATTAAGTAACTCATGTATATATTTGGAAATGCAAAGATGGAAATTGTTTTAGGGTGTTATGAATTATGAGGGCTCTTTGAAGTAATATTAACTTTTCTTTTATAAATTCTACTATGATGGGCCTCCCCGGTGGCGCAGTGGTTGAGCGCTGGATTGCGAAGCTGCCCGCAGCCTCTGCGGCCTGGTTCGATCCCCATCTGCTCCCCGGCCACCGGAGGAGGGTCCCACATGGCGCGCAGACCTCTCCTGCCGCCCGCTGCTCCCCTCAGCAGTGTACTTCGGTCCTTCTGCCTGCTCTGCTTCCCGCTCTGGCTCTGGTGAATTCTCTCACCCTCCCGCGCTTCTGACTGTACCCAGTGGTTGTATAAAGAAATAAATAAATAAATAAACAAACAAACAAATAAATAAATAAATCTTTAAAAAAAAAAAATTCTACTATGATAATGCATTTTTAAGAAAATGTAACACATATACTTACCATTAAATTGTCTTTAAATTCTGTATTTTAAAAGTGGAGTTTGCTTTAGAACTAAATATCTGAAACCATATTCAAATTTAATTTAACCTAAAAATAAATACCCAACTTTATGAAATTCCTAATAGAAATAGTACATAAAGTGTGAAATACTGAATAGATATTTTTCCTAGAATAACCCACATTTTCAATTTCTCACAATTTAAATTGTGAGTGATAAATACAAAACACTATAATCTACACTTCTAGTATTTGATAAGAATTCCACACCTGAAAAATAATATTTTAATAGGCTTTAATGAAATTATCAACATTAAAAATCTAATACTGTGCTGTGAAAATGCATACAGAAAATGTATACAGAAAAATATTAGAATCTTCCCTATAAGAAACAAAATATAAATACATAAAAGTCAATTTCATATACCATATAAGAATACAGACAATGACAAAGAACAAAAGAACTAATAATACTTCTAATACTCCCGAGAATTCTTGAAAGTTGAAAAGCATTTAGTTTTTTCTTTAGTTATTATACTCCTAATAGAGAAACTTACAGTGTATTAGTTTCCTCAAATTGTAACAAATTACTGCCAATTACTGCAGGGCTGAAAACAGAAATTTTTTCCTTCACAAATATGAAAATTATAAGTCTGAAATTTAGATGTCCACAGAGTTCAAATAGCTTTTTTCTGGGGGACAATCTGTTCCATGACTCTGCCAGCTTCTGGTAGTTGCTGGCAATCCTTGGCATTCTTTACCTTATATACTAATCTTTGATTTGTCTTCATCTTTTGTTTTCCCTTGTGTTTCTTGTGTTCAGATTTCTCATGTCATATAAAGTAACTGGGTTATGGTGTATACCCTTATCTTAACTTATTACACCTGTAAAGGGTCCATTTCTAAATAAGGTCACCTACTGGGGAGTTAGGGTTTCAACACATATTTTAGGGGGCCATAATTCTACCTACCCCTGGCTCTCCCAAATTCATGTTCTTCCCATGTGCAAAATACACTCACTCCATTCTTCCAACATTCTAATATTAACACTAAGCACAAAGTTTTACAGAAACATCATCTAATAAGAAATGGGTAGGATGCTAAGGTATAGTCCATCTAGGGCAAAACTCCTCCCCCTCCACAGATCTGTGACACTAGAAAGCAAGTTCCAAAACACAAGTATAAAATAGGCAACCCTGTTCTGAAAGAGAGAAACTAGAAGGAGTAAAAGGGTAGGTAGTCAAAAGTAAGCTCGCAACCAAGCAGGCAAATTCCATTAGAGTTCAAGACCTAAGACTAATTATCTGTGGCATGATGCTCTGTTCTCCAGGCCTGTGAGGGTGGCCCTTCCTTCTTAGCCCTTAGCTATAGTGCCAGCCTTGTCTTCTGGAATGGAGGAAGCAGTAGCCCTATCCCATTGTGTGTGTGGGCCCTCCGGGTCTGTGGGGCAAAAAGCAGCCTCACCAGCCTTTGAGCAGTCCTACTAGTCTCTGAGCCACCTTCAGAGTCATTCTATTTTTAACTTGATGGAGAATGCATGTTGGCAGAAAAGTGGCCTGGTTTTTATTTAGCAAAATCCCAAAAGTTTAAGATCTTTCTTTCACTTCAGCCTGTTTCTGTTCCTTTCAGTTCACAATGGCAGTGTTTTTGTTGAGATGACAGATTGGATTCATGAGTCACATACCTAGTCTTTTCACCCAGGTGTTGTCTAGTCAATCTTGGTCCTGTCTTCAGAGGATACTATTTGGACAGACTAAAAATTTTTCAAATCATTAAGTCCTGTTTCCTTTTTTGCTTAGCATTTTCTTCCTCAATGTATATCTTTCCTTTACATTTTATTATGAGCAGCAAGGAGAAACCAGGCTGAAACTTTTAGTATTTATTAAACCATCTTCATGACAAAAGCTTATTTTTAATCCTAGCAAAAGAAACTGAATTTTTTACCTTAGACAAAAATTAACTCAAAATGGACCAAATAACTAAACTTAAGTGCTAAATTTATAAAACTCTTAGAAGAAAAGTCAAGAGAAAAGCTTTAGCAACAATTTGTTGGATGACACCAAAAATACAGGGAACTAGAGAAAAAATAAATTGGACACATTCTACACCACAGATGAATCTTGAGTGAAACTTAAGGTTAAGTGAAATAAACTTGTCACAAAAAAAGACAAAAATTTTATGATTCCATTTATATATGCAAGTTAAATTCATAAGAGAGGAAGTGGAATGGTGGTTGCCAGGGATTAGGGGAAGAGACCATAGAGAGTTAGTGCTTAACAGATACGAAATTTCAATTTAGGAAGCTGAAAAAGTTCTGATGGATGGTGGTAAAGACTGTTTAACAATATGAAGGTACTAATTACCACAGAACTACATACATAAAATGGCTGAAATTTGATGGTATATGTACTTTACCACAATTAAAAAAAGTTTGATGATAATGATTATCATCAAAATTGATTTTATCAATGCTTAAACCTCAAGTATCTTTGAGTGTTTTCTAAATATCATCTTCACAAGACAAATGAATGTATTACCTCCTGAATCTTTTTCTAATAGTTCCACTCTTTCTCGTAGGTGTCTCCTCTCTGTGTCAATAGAAAGAAGTTCCAGTCGAACTGAGCTGCTCTCTCCCTCAGCTTGATGGGCTTTGACCTCCCAGTCTTCAGCACGATTATGAAGCATCTGAAATTTATCTAACAAATCTTGATTTTCTTTTTCCTGGTTTAAATGTAATTGTTTCTAGATTAGTAATTGTCACTCACTGAAATACCCATGCCATAAACATATACACAAAATGGTAGTTTTGTTTTAATTTAGGAAGCATAAACGATGTGTAGATACAATAGGAAGTAACATCTGTGGGAAAATACTAGAAGACAGTAGGCAAGACCTCTATCTAGTCTCATAAGTAAATCTCTAAGAAGACAGATTTAACAAACACGAAAAAGTTGAAAAAAATCAGTCTTAAATCCAACCTAAATAGTGCTTTTTCACCTTAGCAGCCATTAAGCTCTCCCATCGTGACACCTCAGTTATGTAATTATGAACTCTACTCTTCATGTCTTCTTTTTCTTGCACTGCAGCTTCCAATTCCAATGAAATTTCCTATAAATCCAAATATTAAAGATAAATCTAAAATGAATGCAGTACCTAAGGAGTTCTATTTATATTCATATTGCTTCTTTTGAATTTGGAATAAAAGAGAATAGGAAAAAAAGTAAAACTGCTTGTAGGTGTTATTTTCAAGTATTTTTCTTGGCCGAATCCGGCTTTTTAACCAAACCTTATTATACATCTCTTGCAATAGTTCTGACCATGCTGGCATTTTTATTAAGGGCTAGCTATGCTCAGGGATTACATATTTTAAATTCATATTTCAGCAATATTCTTTATACTGAATACTGAAATTAATTTTTTAATCCTTTAACAAACTAGCACAATAAAAACCAGTACCTTTCAGTACTTTCCATTCTAATACTCATTAACTTACAGGTATATTTCTAAGTCACTAGAAATAAGTATGAATAATTAAATCTATTGTGGGTCTTTACAATCAGGCAACTTGGTCCTGGGAGTGATGCTGGGTTCTCACCCAGTAAAGTAACAATGATTTTGCTCATAAAGAATTCCATGCTTTGGGCACAGCAGACCTCTCCTTGTCTTGCCCGCTGCTCCCCTTGCAGTATTTCAGTAGAGCTGCCTGTTCTGCTCCCCATTCTGTCTCTAGTGAATTCTCTCACCACTCGTACCTCTGGCCTACCCCCCAATTCTTATATGCATAAATTAATAAATCTTTAAAAAAAAAAAAGAATTCCGTGCTTCCAGTTTTAGGATGCTTTGTAACAAAGGTCTAAATGGTGAGGAGACCACTACAGTTGCATCCATTAGACATCCTGTAATACATAATAGCAGCATTCTAAACCACATTTTAAAAGACTCTTACAAATACTATTCTCCTTAGATAATTATTTCTCATGTAATTATTTGTGTTATCAAATTTTAGGAAACATAGAGCTTTAAAATTCAGCAAACAACAAATATACTGTAAAACTGTATACTGCAAGCTGTCAAAGTTTATGCATTGTGTTCATACTTGGTTTTCTCTTGCCATTGTAGCCAGATCATCTTGTAATCGTCTGTTTTCCTTAAAAGATATTTCTTTAGATTTTCCTACTTCATCAAGTTCTTTGTGAGTTGTATCTAGCTGCCGCCGGAGGCTGTTTATCTCCCGGTCCCGATTAGACAAAGTTTCCTTTAGCTGACTGTTAAATGAGTGATATGGAAATAATAAAGGAAACTTTTTGGATTTAGTTCATTTAAAAGATAATTGTTATAATTGGAATTAAGCATGCTAACAATACAAGAAATTCTAGTAACTCAACTAGGATACTCATTAATTAGATAAAGCAGCTATATGAAATCTCTACCAATCACCATATGCAAATGAAGTAAAAAATTAAATTATTCCTAAAGTAAAAACAGAAAACTTGCAAGTGTTAGGAGTAAAAACAACAAATTCAATTGGGAGATACTTTATTTAATATTTTATTCCTCACTACTACATACAATGCAAAGGTATTTAAATAAAATTAATGACTTGTCTTGAGATACAACACATAAAAAATGTAAAATTTTGTTAATAGTGTTTAAGATAGGTTTAGAGGTACAATAAATTCAAGACTGATGACTAAAGTAATCTAAGTTTTAATGATTAAGTCCTGATAAGGGTAATTACAGTAGAAAGAAAGGGCAAGTAGAAATGTTAAAGAATAACTAGTAAGTTATAATGATTTCAAGGTGGGGATGAGAGAATGAGGGAAAATTAAAAAGGATAATATAATTTCACATAGAAGACAGAAAAGTATGTTGCCATAGGCAAAACTGGAAAAACTGAACAAGGAAATTTTCCTGCTGCTGTCTGTTACTTAAAAAGACCAAATTAGGGCCTCCCCGGTGGCGCAGCGGTTGAGCGCTGGGTTGCGAAGCTGCGCGCGGCCTCTGCGGCGCCGGTACGATCCCCGGCTGCTCCCCGGCCACCAGAGGAGGGTCCCACATGGCGCGCAGACCTCTCCTGCCGCCCGCTGCTCCCCTCAGCAGTGTGCTTCGGTCCTTCTGCCTGCTCTGCTCCCCGCTCTGGCTCTGGTGAATTCTCTCACCCTCCCGCGCTTCTGACTGTACCCAGTGCTTGTTACAAACAAACCAGCAAACAAATAAATAAAGCATGCCTCTATAAAAAAAAAAAAAAAAAATTTAAAAAAAAAAAAAGACCAAATTAGCATTCACTGAAAATTTTTTTAAAAGTTTGATACTATTTCATTGATTACTTACTTCATAGAAGAGTCATATTCTGAGACTGTTATCTTCATCTGAGCAATAGTTCTGTCCTACAGAAAATTAAAATATGATTCTAATCCATTCCATAGAAATCTTTAGTTTAATTTCCATAATTATCAAACTTACATAGTTCAAATCCAATTATATAATTACCCTATAATGAAAGCTACAAGTAAGCATGTTTTCATCACCCAGATGGAGATACACATATTGGCATGTTTCTACCCACCTTGATAACTTGGTTTCCTTGAATTTAATGTAATCATATCTGATAAAATCACATTCAATATGTCAAGAACTTTTGATTCAAATAACTGGGATAAAATGAAATTTAAATATATTCTAATAAAGTCCTGGCATTAGGACCTTGTACACGGATAAGAATGGCATTTTTGACACAGAGAATGAAATCATCTTTTCTTTTCAGATACTAGAAGATATTTAACAGTTACATACTTTATTAGCTAGGTTTTCTTGCAAGTTTGCAATCTTTTCTGTCTTTTCATCTACAGTCTCCTGGAGAAAGTCCTTCTCTTTATCAATAGCACCAATGGTCTTTTTCATTACATGAGCCTCCTCATTCTGTGAAGTCATCTTAAGGTGTAGTTTACCTGTAAATGAAGATTTGTTTGTTAGACAAAGTAACTTCAGGTTAGCAAAAACAAAATTTAAAAACACTTACCTATTTTCTCCTCCAGTGTTTTAATTTGTGCTTGGGCTAATTCAACTTCACCTCTTTGTGCGGAAAGTCGATGCTGATAATCATCAAGTGACCGCTGCAGCTGCTCATTTACTATCCTAGAGATAAAACAATGGCACTCTTTATCTCTGGGAGGAATAGTTTTTTAAAAATGAGAGCTCTTAAAAACTTTTTTTCTTATTTTTAAAGTTTATTTATTTTAAAGCTCTTCCAGAAAAACAATTAATAGTATTAAATATTATTCCTTACTGCCACTCATTCTTCTTCATATGGCTGTACCTTCCCCAAAATAATATAAACATCAAATTAATGGCATACTCTCAGAGACTTCCTGGTAGCTTTAAAGCTCTTCTCTGTATCCTAATGTCAACTTTCTTTTCTTAAAATCTATTTCTAAAGGGCCTCCCCGGGTGGCGCAGCAGTTGAATGCTGGGCTGTGAAGCTGTCCGCAGCCTCTGCAGTGCCGGTTCGACCTCCAGCCGCGGGGCGAGGGTCCCACACGGTGCACAGACCTCTCCTGCTGCACCCGCTGCTCCCCTCAGTAGTGTCTTCGGTCCGTCACCTGTTCTGCTCCCTGCTCTAGCTCTAGTGAATTCTCTCACCCTCCCACGCTTCTGACTGTACCCCGTGCTTGCATAAATAAATAAATCTTTAAAAAAAAATCTATTTCTAAAATCCTGCTTTTACAGTACAGCCTGACAACGTCAAAGGAATATTCATAAATCCTGACCATTCTAACCAGTGAACTTTTAACTTTGCTTCCTATTCTGAAATCTCTGCTGGGTAATCAACTGGAGGTTATAATGAGAGGAACTGATACCAGGAGAACTTGGAGAACAGGAAAGGCTGAGACACGAGACAGTGATTTAAACAATATAGGATCAGAAGGAACAAAACAGCTCCCAGGAAAACACAAGTGTTTTACTGAAATGTTGTTGAGCAGCCACTACCTCTGGACAGAAAACAACCACTAAAAAACTTCCCAACCACCTAGTGCCTAATCGATAATCTGGCACATTGGACAACCGGAAGTCTGACAGTATATAGTCATAGACAGGGCTGGGCACCCTCCCTTGGACCCCCTCCTGCTGTCAGGAGTTCTTTCCATTTGCGTCAATAAATCCACACTTGCTTGCTCTCAAGTCTGGTGTGGCGGCTGTTACTCTTGAACCGGCGTACACACCTGGACCCACAAGCATCCACTCCCCTAACAACAGTAAACAGGGAAGGAAGGCATTTCTCATAGTGTAGGGGGGACTTCAAGACTAAAGACTGGTTTCAAAAGAAAGGGATGTACTGGAAATAAAGATGGCTTCAGATTAATCTGTTACTTATCAGTCACATTACTTTTCAGAAGTAACAAGAATCTGCTCTAATATTACCTAGAACCTTCAAAATGCTTTTAGTCCTGACTAAGGAGTTCTTAACCTGCCTTGCTGGCAAGACAAGGCTCTCACTTAAGCTATTTACCAAGAAGTGCCATAGGACCCTTTAGGGTTCATCTGAAAATAAGACCAAGACAAAGATACCAAGGATGCCTTGGTATACTTGGTAGAGGAGGTTTGGATTCTGAAGCCACTAGGAAGATGGGACATTCTCATAGAAATGAAGATGTTTTACTGGCAGTACTGAGGTATTCTGAAAAACAAAAGAAATGACCATGTCTTAATAGCAAGTGAATGATGACCCAGAGGTAGGAAGGAAAGTTAAGCTGAGACTGACTTCTTTAGAAGTATACAAACAGAACCCACATTAGAACTACACTAGGTTCAGGCAATTTTACTCCATAAAATTACCTGTGCAGTCCAGATTACTGCACTATATTAAGCTGCTCCTAAAAGCTGCAGCTGTTGCTCTGAGAAATATAACTACAAGGAGTGAAAGAAAGAAGAAAAGGAATACTCAAATTGTTTAAAATTTTATATACATTAACTCATTTGTTCCTACAACAGTTCCATAATTAGAAACTACCATCCCAATTTTATAAAAACAAATAACTATTGCAAGGTACAAACCTATTGAGACAAAGAGGAGATAGAAATCTAGGCTAGTCTAGTCAGATGTCAATCACATCACATTGTCTTCTATGTAGATTCAGAGAAATTAACATTTCTATGAGAAAGGGAAAATGTCTGCCAGGACATTATATGGATGCTCTTAATATGGAATGACCAGTGTCCCTAATGAAGTCTATCAAGTGCTTGCAATCCTAGATAGAAAGATCTCTTACATCTAAGTTCATAGCAGATTAATTCCTTTTTTTTAAAGATAGATTTATTTATTTATTTATTTATTTATTTATTTATTTATTTATTTATTTTATACAAGCACTGGGTACAGTCAGAAGCACGGGAGGATGAGAGAGTTCACCAGAGCCAGAGCAGGAAGCAGAGCAGGTAGAAGGACCGAAGCACACTGCTGAGGGAGCAGCGGGCGGCAGGAGAGGTCTGCGCGCCATGTGGGATCCTCCTCCCGTGGCCGGGGAGCAGCCGGGGATGGAACCCGCACCGCAGAGGCTGCGACCAGCTTCGCAACCCAGCGCTCAACCGCTGCGCCACCAGGGAGGCCCCAGATTAATTCCTAATGAAAGTGGGCTGATAAAGAAAGACAGGATAACACGTGATTGATTATACATATAAAGGAGGCCTTTACTGAGTCCTAAAAATAGCTCTGCTTTTTCATATTCTAGTGTAGACAGGGAAAGGAATAACATATTCTATAGCTGACTTTGGATAGTAACTTTTCTGAGAGTATCAAGATGAAGGAAGGTCTTTTCAATGGAAATTGAGGTACAAAATTCATAAGGAAGAAGAGTTGTGTGATTATCATATTATTGTTTATCCTGGTGTTTGGAAAGAAAATTTTGTGAACTAAGTTGTTAAGAAAATGAATCAATTTCTAAATTTTGAAAGTACTAATAAACATAGCAAAGGGAAGTGATGACTTTTCACTGCAGAGTGAAGAATAAAACTTAAGTTAGAATCTTAGACTCAAAGTTCTAGCTCTCTACTCACCAACCATGTGGATGGATAAAGGACTATCTGTGTGTTTCAAGTTTCTCAGTTATTACATTACATAAATGTAGGCATGCTCTTATTTTAGGGGACAAAAATAATTATTTCCCTTCATGATGGGATATATTTTAAACAAAGACAGCATCTTAAAGCATTCTTTATTTGTAAGTGTTCAAGCTCTAAATAGAATTGAAGCTCTAAGAAGGGCTTTGGAAAGTGATGGCCTATTAAGAGAAACCAATATGGTGTCCTTGTTATATTTTAGATGGCTCATAAGAGTTTGTGAAAGGCTTCAAATAAGTATCATCTCTTGGTGGTCAGAGAGGGGAGAGGAATCAGGAATGGTCTTTCTTTTTACCTTCTGTAAAGGGATGATGATCTATATCGACGGCCCTATCAAGTTCAGCTCCATGAGCTCAGTTGTCCTTACTTAGACCCTGGCTCCTCTCCTGTCTTAGTAGAAAAAAGTGTTAGGCATGCCCAGAAGAGAGTTCTTAGGCCTCCTAAGGAGACAAGCCTTCTTTCCCTTTCAACTGCCTTAACAAATAAATACTATTGAAGGGAAGCAGCTATCAAGTTTGGTTTTCTCAATACAACTAACAACTCCTACTATAACAACTGATACCTATTGCCATAATAATTACTCTAACTAGAGTTATGGGCATTTCCTGGAAAATCTGCTAATGCATTCATTTATTCTGGCTAAGTATATAACCTCAGGCAAACTGAAAACAGTCTGAGGTATTTTCAACTGCAGAAATCTAAATGTTTAGAGTCTCACATCTAGCAGTTGTGAGGATTAAGGTTGTTGATTGAGAAAAGTTAATGTCTAAGTTGGCTGGAAACTGTCTTTAAGCAGGGGTTAGCAATCTATGGTCTGCAAACTGTTTCTGTAAGGTACCATGAATACCATGAATGGTTTACATGCTTAAATGATGGGGGGCAAAAATCAACAGATTAATATTTTGTGACATGAATATTATGAGAAGTTCAAATTTCAGTGTCCATAAAGTTATACTGGACCACCAACACATTTCTTCATTTATATACTGTGTATAGCAGTTTTTTGCTACAAAGATAGTGTTGTGTAGGTGAAATATACTGTACGACCTGCAGAGTCTAACAAATTGACTCTGTCCCTTTACTAAAGAACTTTACTGACCCCAGTTCTAGGTGCTAGTGTGAAAGACTAATATACAATCTTTCCTTGGTTGAGAAAAAGCTGCTTTATAGCATTATAAAGGTTAGGTTTGGGGTATAAAATGCCAGGTCTCATTAAATGCTAAAATTCAAGTTATTTGTTTAACAAGTTGTCATTTTTTAAAAGATTTATTTATTTTTGCATACAAGAACTGGGGTGTAGACCAGAGGTGTGGGGGGTGAGAGGATTGACCAGAGACAGAATAAGGAGCAGAAGAGGCAGATCTACTGAAATACACTGCTGAGGGGAACAGTGGGTGAGACAGGAGAGGTCAGCTGTCCATGTGGGTTAGCTCCCTGGCAGAGGTAGAACTCATGCCATAATGACTAGCGATAACTTGATAGCACTAAGACTTTAACCCCTGCGCCACCAGGGAGGCCCTTAACAAGTGACTATGTGGTGGCATTCTGTATTATGTCCTCTGGTGCTGCACCAAGAGACCTGACAAAAGATCTTCTATTTGGACAATTAGAGACTGTGCTTGATATAAAAAAAGACTAATGGTGCTGAATTTGATGGAGATGCCTGCCCCAGGAAGGAAACGGAGATGGGTTCAATGGGTAAACGGAAAGGACTGCTTCAACTATCTGAGTACCAGCTTCTTAAACAACTTCATGTCAAGGTAAGAGAATTTGATGTGAATAAAGGAACAGCATATCCAAAGCAACATAAAGTTTGGATAATGTGGCTTTGCTTCCACAGAATGCCATTACAGTTTTTATTGGTTTAGCTTTGGATTTGAACCTGACAGCTTGATCTTGTGGTTCTACCAATGTTTACAGATATGGTGGCTGACTGACACGCTTTTCTCAGAGACAAGTTTCTGTCGAAACGAAACAGTTATAGAATCATGCAATTTTCCCAGGTTATGCAAGGTAGAGAGAAAAATTCTCACAATCCTTTCCTCAAGCACAGAGACTGAGTTACCCCTAAGTGAGGGAAATGAGAAATTGAGCTTGCAAGACAAAAAGATATCAGTTTAAGAGAAAATGCCCCAAAGAGTTGTAGGCTAGGGGATCCAAGAGAAGGCACTGAAATTTCTGCCATTTAAAAGTAAAGAAGATCCTATAAGAAAGGAAAAGGGAGCTGCAGATATAGTCTGAAGAAAAAGCACAGATTAAATGCCGAACCCAGTCAGCTGGACACAAGAGAGAAGGGTAGACTAGCAATTCTGGTAACAGAAATACACCACTGTGTCTGTACTGGGAGCTGAACACAGACATGAACCAGCAGGAGGGCTGGCTATTCAGCTAGCTCTCCTTCATAGGGAATATACAGTGCTTACAATGCTCCCCCCCAGTAAAATCAGCTTCAACCCTAGTTCTTTCTAAAGTCTATTTCAAGATGTTTAGTCAGAGTAACAATGGGGCAAAAATCAGAGTGACTATCAGTCACTAATACAATATTCCTTAATTAATTAGACATATTTAGCTCTCAGTCTTATTTCATTAACTTTGCTTGATAACCAGGGATCCCATCTGAATATAATCTCAGACTTTTCTTTTCCAATCACTCCTTCAATTTTCATTTCTGTTTATTTATTATTATTTTGGGGATTTTTAGTGTTTGCATTTAGACCAGTGTTCTTTTTTTTTCCTCTCATTTCTTTTTATTCTTCTGAGTCTGAATTCCAGGTGAATTTTTTGAGTTTGTTTTCTATTTCACCAACTCAGTTTTCGGCAATATCCAATTAACTGTTCACTAACATTTTCAGTTTTAATTTATCAATCTTTTTCTAATGATCATAAACATAATCCTTTCCAATAGAAGTTGCTACTGCTTCATGACTGATTTAGTTCCACATATGCAATGTCATGTGATAGCTGAAATCTTTTTTAGATTCTTATTATAAATATAGTATTTTCTGATTCTTTAGAATCAAACCCCTATTCTCTTGATCTTTAAACATCTTTTTGCTTACGCAGCTACCAGTCCTGGAAAAACCAACTTCATAGTTTCTTTGTTCCTTTAGTTGTTTGAATTCTAAACTGATTATGTGCTAACCAATAACCCAATCTCCTTAAGACAAATGTTCTGCATTACTCCATTGTTCTCTCAATCCCATATAATAAGCTATTCAGTTTGTGTGATTTTATGTAAGAAATGTTTTCTAAATCTGGTCTGTGTTCTCCAAGTTCACTGTCATTGTGTGCCTTCAGTTGCCTAAGACTCCAAGGACATCTTCCCTATTTCTACCAGTTCCTAGTATCATTCCCTTGATGAAAAAATTTCATTTTATTCTCTATGTTTATAAGTCCAGATAATATGGGTTATCCTGCTAAGTTTTTCATAACCTATTCCAATCTGCTGACAGCATCTATTGTACATACTGACCTCTTACCATTCTTCAGATATACCACCTTTTTAAACTGATATGTGAATATCTGATTTTACATTTCTTTGAAGAAGAAAGAGAAGGAAAATAATATATAGGGAAAATTCTATAATTTTCAGTAACCCTACATGATGAGTACAACTGATCAGAAGATTTTGTAGTCCAAAAACTTGCCTACAATCCAATCAACCTATAAAAGTCTTAAAAATCACACATAATTAAAACCTCCCAGATTTATTCAGTGACTAAGAAGCTGCAACAATCTGCCCTTTAATCTATGCTTTTTAAAAGCTCAATTAGGTGATTCTGCTGAAAGGCCAACTTTGGGGAAACTGCTCAGAGCCCTGGTCTAAAAAGCCATGATTCTGAACCTATATAACCACAAACATGTCCAAAAGTGTAGTAACAAAATTGAATATACTTACCTGAGTGAGTTCATCTCTGTTTCTGAAGAGAGGAGTCACCAGCACGTGGCTGAGTTTGTGGGCTTGGAATTTTGCTTTATTCTCTAATGACTCTTGTGTTTCTCTCATTATCAACATTTTAGACTTTAATTCACATTTTTCTTTTTCAAGCTACATTTAAATTTTAAAATTAATAGGTATATGTCTCAGTTTTTAAAAGTCTGATATTTCTGGAAGAAAACTAAGGAAATAAGTTAGACTTACTTAAAAATACTGTCAAGCCTAAAATCTATTTTAGGCTCTTGATGTGAGGATGAATTCACATACTTAACTCTCCCCTCAATATTATTGAAAGAAAAGATACCCTCACAAAAAGGGAAAAAAGAACATAATATTCATAATATTAATGAAGCGGGAGGGAAACCATCAATAGAGCAAAAATTTTGAGGCATTCCTAAAAGCAATAAGTAGAAAGCACTGAACTGAAGAAACATCAGAGCAGAAAACACTGTAAACCAAACATAAATAAGCCAGACATATATGAAAAATTATAAAATTTTCCTTAACTGCAAAAAAAAAAAAAACACCCCTGATTTAATATAAAAATATCATGCCCCTGAATAATAACACAATATCATAAATATATTAAAATCTCCTCAAATACTTGTCATTGAATTATGGGTATTTGGCAAAGATGTTCTTGTTAATGCAACTATTTAACTGTTTTCCTTTAAGGAATAAACTTATTGTGTCTTATCTAGGAGCACTCTTGCACTAACACTTGTGAGCTGTTTGATCTTGGGCAAGTTTTTTCTCCACCTCAGTGTCCTCATCTGTGAAATGAGGACATCGGCATTAGCATTTTTATATCGCTTATGTTGTTTGAGAGTTACATCATAAAATACAACAAATTGTTATTATACTATATAATATTGAGACAAGTGTCTGATAGTAATATAACAAATTATTTCTCCAAGGTCTTCCCATGTTTTATCTTTCAAGAACTTTAGTAACCTTAAGTTGTTTAGGTATGGTATATTTGAGGTAGGATCTAACTTCTTTTTATATACATCATATGAATAGTAACTATTCCCAAATAATTACTGAATAATCTTTCCTTTCTCCCCATTGATCTATGTTCTTTATAGATCAAGTGTCCATATATTTGGGGGTTTCTTCCACTGGCTTTTATCATCTCTCTTAATCTCTGTGCACTATACCACCCTTTCCTAATCACCCATGACACTGAAGTCTTCATATCTAGAAGTGCAAGTCCCACCCATGTTTAATAAATTACCTGGTGATTAACACATGTCAAATGTCAACAATTTTCTCTAATTCTGATTCCAAAATGACTCATTTCCTGGAGACTCTGAAAGAGTAATTTTATAGATGTTTATGTATGAGATTATAAAGAATTAGGAAAAGTAAGGAATGCAAGTTTTATGATACTATTACTTTGTCTTTCCATAAAACAATGTTTTTAGAAAAAA